ATTGTGATAAGTGGCTGTGAGTGGATGAGGCACATGAACGAGAGGGAGCAGGGCCTCCCTGGATTAGGAAGGCAGCAGCGGCTTCTCCAGCAAACTCTCCGAAGACACATTCATCCAGGCCGGAGAAATGACAGCCGCAGCTGCGAAGAGGCGGGAGCCTGGGAGTCCTGGCTCCCGGCAAACCAGGCAGGAAGCCACGAGCAGGGAGGGGGGCAGGGGGACAATTTCAACGTGAGGAGTCAGAACCCACAAACGTGCATTTGGACCAGTCTTCATACTCTACAGAAATAGAGCAGATGAAGGGAACTATATTTTTAAAAGAAAAATCTAATTTAGATCAACATTTATAAAATATGCCTCTTTTAGAAGGAACTCGGGGAGGAATTTCTGTCAGCTCGTAGCATCTCGAAAAGCTGTATTTGTCCTTGGCGATTACATTCTTAAAAAAGTTTTTTATAGATGCTATGAGACGTGCAAATGACTTGCTCCCCCTTTTTTGGCCTACAAAGAGCTCCAAAGTGAATTTTCAACAGCGCCTGCAGGTGGGCAATTTTCCCTGAAATAACTTTATTCTTGGCTTTATTTTTTTCTGTTCTACTCTAGATTTCCTTTGATTTGTCTCCTTTACTTATTGCAGCACAGGTGTGCACGTAAAATACATGCCCCACAATCCTCTTTAGAACAAGTTAGATTATAATGAGTTTACAGCTCTAGGTAATCCAGCACCCATTTCAGAATATACCATTTTCTGTATCTGCCTCTATTACCCACATTTAATGTGCACTGGGTATGCTTTTTTAAAGTTTCAATTCACCTTATCCCACACCCCCCTCTTTCCCACCCACCCGGTCCCGGTGTCTCTTTTAAAGGGGCAAACATCTGCCACAGCACATGCACGACCGTAACTGGCCCACAGCTTCCTCACTCCGTGGCCCACCACCTGTAGCTGGTATCTTTCTGCTTTTCTTCACTTTCACATCATCCCCATCCCATCCCATCCCCATTCTACACAGTGCCCCAGCTTCATTTCCCTAAAACAGTGGTCGGCAAACTGTGGCTCTCGAGCCACATGCGGCTCTTCGGCCCCTGGAGTGTGGCTCTTCCACCAAATACCGACTTCTGCGCATGGGCCACGAAGTTTCAATCGCGCTGTCCGTGCGCACCCGCACGTGGTATTTTGTGGAAGAGCCACACTCAAGGGGCCAAAGAGCCGCATGTGGCTCGCGAGCCGCAGTTTGCCAACCACGGCCCTAAAACATCAATTGACCAAATCAGCCCTTGGACAGTTACAAATCTTCAGCGGCTCCTCCTGCTCACAGGGAAAGGGGAAACGCCTTGTCCTGACACATCTCCTTCTCCATCACATAATTCTCCACCTAAACTCTGCCACACGCAGGTAGCTCCCCCTCCTAACTGCCCCTGGGCAGGTCCTCTCTTTCCCCACCTCGGTGCGCTTACTGTGCCTCCACCTGGCACGACCTCTCTCCCTTCCCCACCCAGCTCAGACCCCTGCACAGACGCCTGCTCTCCCCCAAAGCCCTTCCCAAGAGGCCCACCTTCCACTACAAGATCGCTGGCTGACCCTCATCGGATGGGTTACTCCATCTCGCCCTGCCCAGCTGTGCCATTTGACTGAACCTATCTTTGTGTCATTTAATTTTGTGCGCATGCTACAACCTGCTTGCCCACTGAAATTGTAATCCTCTTGGTGGAAAGGACCTCTGTTCTTTTCTGTGTCTCCCATGATGCCCTCTGTAGTACCATATAAGCTGGCACTCCACAAATACTTAATGGTTTATGTCTACTTCCCTTCAAAACATACAATATAAAGCAAATGACAGGCAAATGGTTAATACCCTGAAAAAAAATAAAACACTCATGACAATTCTCTAAAACGCAAATGGCTAAAAAACACAGGAGGTGTTTAACTTCACTAGTACTAAAGAATACAAGTTAAAAGGATCCAACTTTTATATCGAATCAGCAAACATTAAGGAAAAAATCTCCGTGTTTCATGCTTTGGAGAGTATAGGGCCATGGATACTCTCCTAACTGCTGGGTGGGAGTGGAATCGATACAAATTGAAAACAATTTGACAACATATAACAAATCTTTAAAATGTTTATATACCTTGATCAACTGATTTGGAGAGCTACAGGCTAAGGAATTATTCTAAAATTTAGAGAAAACTTTTGGCACCAGATTCCCTTCCCAGGGTTATAATATTGAATCTTTATGTATAACCTAAATGTACAATAAGGAAACTATACATCCATTCCGTGGACTGTTGCACAGCCATTAATAATGGCAGTCAGCAAGTTTTTATTAATTTAGAGGGGATGTTTATATTCTAGTGTTAAATAGAAAAAATAGAATACACAATTATGTAAAATGATAATTCCAACTACAAAAACAAATGCATGGAAGGAAAGATATCAAGACAGTAAAAGCAGTTTTACTTGCTTATAGTTTACTGTGTTTTCCAGATTTTCTGGAAGGATTGGATAACTACGGGGGGCGGGGGGGAGATGCTTTGTAAATTAGATTTTTCTTTTGTTTGATACAAGAAACAGTTTCACAAGCACTGTTTATTAAGCTTATGGGACATACGTTTATTTTTCTTGTTGCCCTCTTTTAAAAAATATTAGGAAACAGAGAGGAAAGAGAGAGTTGAAGAAAGGGAAGGGGAAAGGGGGGGCAGCTCTCCCCTCCTGACCAATCTGTGCTGGAAGGTGGGCGCTGTCGCCTTTGTAGAGCCAGGGAAGCGGCTCAGGGAGGGCCGGGCCCAGGTTACCTGCGGGCAGAGCCTGTCTATGGGCTCCCTGCTGCTCCTTTATCATCGTGCCTGGGTTAGCACAGACGGGACCCCTAAAGAGAGAGAAAGGAAAGGGCAAAAGCAGGCGAGCACAAAATCCTAGTGGCAATTTATATAATCATATAAAAGTTGGCTTTAGTGGGTAGAATTGTGGATGGTCCCCTCCCCCGCCTCCCACTCTCCTTTCCAGATTTTCTCTAAGGCGATAGTAACTTTTTCTTTTTCTTTATGTGCAGGAAGAAAAATGCAACTGAGTTCATCGAACTGTGAGCAGCAAGAGAGAGAAGACAGGCTCGACTTCCCCAGCCCCCTCCTAAGAATAAAGGAGTTGGGGGCAGGGTGACTGTTCAGGGAAGGCGAGGAGATTGGAGCGCGTGTATGTGTACATGGGAGGGGGAGGGGCTTCACAGGGGGAGTGTGCAGGGAGGCAAGGAGGTTGGAGCATGTGTTTTGTGCGTGGGGGGTGAGTAGTTGTGTGTAGGGAGTGTGCACAGAGGTGAGGAGGGTGTGTGTGTGTGTGTGTGTGTGTGTGTACGTGCGTGCGCATGCGCCCACCTGTGTGTGGTATGTGGGCGTCCCCTGTGATCAGCAGCAGCAGGACCTACAGAAATCTCTGCAAAGATGAGCCCTGCACCTCGGGCAGTCAGCCCCACCCTGCAGTTTCCCAGGCCGCCCGCGACCGTCGCAGCACACACACGTGGTCTGTGGAGCACATGTACAGAGAGTTAGCCACGGCCGCCTTCCCTGCGTCAGCACCCTCGGCCACAGAGCAGGGCGACAGGCACTGCGGGGCTTGCGGCAGCACCGACAGGTGAGGGGCACTGTCAGAGCAGCTTCGTTTGAGTGGGACCCGGCCACACAGACTGTGGTTCTGGGGAACGCCTTTCCTTTCCTCACTATGCATGGCCGGCAGGACCGATCCCGGAGGGTGGCATTTCTCAGGCAGCTCTGCCGCACCTCAGCGGTGGGTGGGCTGCTCCCAGGCAGGACCAGCCGGGCTCCATCCCGGGAGAGGGGCACAGGGCACCTTCTAGGTATACAATTCCAACACAAAGAAACGCAAACGGGAACCCATATTTGCACAGGATGTGCCCCCGATCTTCCTCCGGTCCCTGGTCAATCTGTGTTCATAGGTATACACCAGACTGCGAAGTCACCGGGGCCTTTGGACAGCCATTTCCAGAAAGGGCCTGGGGTTTGGAAATGAGTGCGTGCTGAGGAGGCTGTTTGGTGGCTGGAACGGCCAGCTAGGTCAAGGTGACGGGTGAGCTTAAGGTGGGGTGGGAGGTGACACACACAGGCGTCTTCAGGAGCTGGCAGAGAGGAGGAGAGCCGGGTAAAGGCCCAAGACCAGCCGGAGGGGCCAGGCTCTTCAGCAATCGACTTGTGAGCGCACAACCTCCTCCGCTGCACGGCCACGGCCAGTGCCAGGCTCCGAGCCTCCTCACCATTTTACTGAGATTTGATTCCAAACGATGATGCCACTTGCCTAAGGTCACATACGCGGAACCTGGCTCTTATATTGAGATGGGCAGCCCCCAGGTCTAGGATCCTTTCTGTCCCCAATAGCACTGTGTCCTCCAGCAAAGACACGGGACCCTTATTCTCCCACAGACAGAAGGAAACAGACAGAGAAGACGGAGGGAGACTGAGTTGTGGGTGGGGGTGGGGAGAGCAGAGGTAAAGTGAGGAAGGATGAAGAGGGGAGACCAAGATCTGTCCAGGATCACCGAGCAGCTGAGAGCTGGGGACCGGAGTTAGGGCACATGAATTCATAATAGATCAAGTCACCAAGGTGGGTAGTCAAGGGTCATCATTACCTAAAGCTCTTAGGTGACTTTTGGCTCTACATTGGGGGGGGGGGGGCGCCTCACTGCTCAACAAATAAAATCCATGGTGGCCTTTTCCTAATGAGACTTTACCCAAGTCATGGGGGTAGGGGGGCGCACTGGCCAGGAAGCCCCAGTCTGCATTTTGCACTATTCCATTTAACGGTGTTACCTTGGACAACTCACTGGGAAAATATGGGAAAATATATATGTCCCATATAAATGTCATATCGTATGATTTTAAAAGATGGGGAGACAATTGCATGAAAAGAATAGCATGTTTAGAGAACAAACTTTCATTTCTTTGACATTATACATTTTAATATTTCATCACAAAAGAAAAGGATTTTAACTAACAGAAATAACATAAGAACTAAATGTAAGAAGTCTGTGACTCTATGCCTTTCCGACCTTCCTATCCACATCTTCTTTCATCAGGCGATTGACTGCTGAGGAGAGAATTATTACAAGTATCACATGGAACCTTTCTTTTCATGAAAGTCAAGGAAATACTAAAACCCAGGCGGATGAGCCCCCCCCCGCCCCCCCCCCCCCCCCCCCGCCTTGGACAGTGGGCTCCCTCTCACACCTCCCAGGACCAGGCTTTGCACTGAGCGAGACACAACCATCACCTCCCACCAGCTCGGTGTGACTTCCCTTTGCGGCAGGCAGCTGCCCAGCTCACTTGCTCTATCATCTTTCAATGAATCACTCAGGGGTAAGTGCCGCCTCTACTTGCATAGGAATACAAACATATCATAAAAGAAACAGAAAAATCTATGGGCATCAGAAAACAACAGCCAGATAGGTTAGCTTCTCAGTTCACCTTGCTGTCCTAGCCAACTCTTCCTTGACTTGCTTCATACAGTAGAGCAGACGGGGACCCCAGTGCTCAGGTGTCAGACTGACTCAGACTAAATGCCACAGGGCAGCCCAGCAGAACGAGGCTTCCTAATTCTTACCCATTCTGATGGGCCTTGTCCTAACTCCTTCCCCACTGCAGGTCCCCCTGCAGTCACATGCTTTTGTCAAGTGATCTGCAGCTTCAGGCTGCTCAGTCTGCAGAAAAGGAGACGGGAGAACACAGAGAGTCCGAAAGTAGCTCTCTCCTGGGCCCCTCACAGCCTCCTGGCTTCTAAAGCACATCTGCCTCGTTACCTGTCCCCAGAGGCAACACGCCAGCAGAAGGGGCTCTGACGTCAACCTCGCCTGCCACCCACTGCCCCCTTGGATCCATCCAAGAGAAATAACACTTGCTGATGTCGACCTGGTTCAGAAATGAAGACGTATTACCAACTGGGCAGTTAAAAGGCTCTCTCTCCCCCCCCCCCCCCCCCCCCGACTGATTGCTGAGTCTATGTACCAAGCTCTCAGCTTCCTCTGCCACCAACAAACTTTGTGACTCACGGTCTGTTTGCAGAGCGAGCAGGAGCAGCCTCAGTGATGGGTTAAATTGGGAATGCGCTCTTCTCCCAAACTCACCCCTCAGGTGTCCCCTGAGCCAGACCTGGCAGTGGAGGTGGGAGGTGAGAACAATTTCCCTTCTTTTGCTAGACCTAGAAGAGCTGTCAGAATCTGGGTTCTGATGGTCTTGCGTCCATCTGGATCTCTCTCTCTCTCTCTCTCTCTCTCTCTCTCACACACACACACACACACACACACACACACAGCCGTTCAGAGCGCGTGGATGCTCCGTAATGCAGTTGATTTCTAGACTGGTCTGGGTCCCCAGTGCCGCAATGTGGGAACCAACGTGCTCCCTTTCCTTCACCCACAGGGCCTCCCAAACCGGAGGAATTCCAGCCGGTGCTGAAGCAGACCAGGGCATCCTGAGGGTCTGCCTAACTGTTGCACATCAGTTCAGGGGGTGGTGGTGGGAGAAGGGAAGACAGGTCAAGGGACAGCGAGAAGGTGGCTACCCAGAGCTGCGCTGCGCCCCCAGCAACGTCTCCTCCTCGATCACTGCAGAGCACCGATCTGGAAGTTAGGGGACCTGGGCCCCGGGGCAGGCAGAGGCCACATCCATCCAGGAGACGCGAGACGAGACTCCAGGACCGGCTGACTCCCCAGCCCTCGGCACCGCGGGCGCCGCCTCCCACCTCCCCGCAGCCGCACGGAAGGCGGGCAGCTAGCGTCCCCCCCCCCCCACTCCGTTCCCGCCCCCGCCCCTCCGCAATCCGGACCGGCTTCCGCAGAAAACTCAGCACCACCCGCTTTTGTCAATTCTGCAAACGCTGTCACACAGGACCGCCTTCACCCAGACTCCAGGGACCCGCTTCCCCAGAGCCCAGCGCTCCGCATCACGCAGCCCCCGACTCCCGACGGACCACCGCCCACCGCCTGCAACCACCCGCCCCCAGGACCCCGGGGACCAGGTCCCCAGCGCGGGCATCTTTGTCCTTTCAGCACCCGCGCGCGCGCGCACAGAGCGACCGACCGACCGACAGAGCCAGCCGGGCTCGGAGCCCGCGCCCCGCGGCCTCGCCGGGGCCCCGCGGGGGACAATGGTCCGCGTTTGGCAAGTTTGCGAGCCGCGGGGAGAGCCCTCCTTACCGTACATCTCCGCGGGGCTGGCGCCTCCCGCGGGGCCGCGTCACCGCGGCGCCTGCAGCCAGCCCCCGGCGGCGCCCGCCTTTCATTCACGCTCGGCGGCGGCGGCGGAGCCTGCGAGGCCGGCGGCCGGAGCGGGAGGCGGGAGGCGGGGGCCGGACCGGGAGGCCCCGAGCCGGGAGCCGCGCGCCCAGGCTGCTTGCAGGCGGAGCGCCGCCGGCCTCTGCTCCGGTTTCTGGGCAGGGCGGGGCCGAGGGGCGGGGCTATGCTAATGAGCCGCCCTCCTCCCGGACTCGGCCACTGCCAGGCCGCGACCCCCGCCCCGCCCCGCCCCGCCCCGCCCCGCCCCGCCCCGCCGCAGGCAGGTTCCCGCCCCCCGCCGGCCTCGGCCCGGACAGCCTCCCACAAACCCTGATCCCAAGGCGCGCCTTATCCCAAACCCGGAACGCTCCCTGCTCCTGCTGAAATGTCCGTGCGCCCCAGGACCAGCAGGGGTGTTGGAGGCGGCAGGTGTACCCCTCTCCCGGGTGAGCCAGGGCCGCAAAGAGGACGCATCGGGGAATATCTTTCCACCCTCCCCTGGCCCCTGAGCTAAGCCCCGTCCTCTAATGAGGCCCGCAGCTGCGTCCCTCCCAGCCACTCGCTGACCGCGTGATTGCTATCAGACAGCGTCCATCCTCGGCCAGGGACGCAGGAATCGCACTCCATCCCACCCCCCAGGTGCTGCGGGAAGTCAGTTCGCTTTTTCTCTCCCAGATTTTGCGTGTTATTCGCAAGCTTGGCGGTCAGGATCCTCTCTACCTGTGGCCCAGGGCTCGCTGCTCCATCCTCTGGGACCGTGTTGAGAAGCAGACCCGGAGGGCTCAGGAACCACCCCCTGAAAACATCTCCTAGGCCAGCGCCGGGCTTTCCCGCGGCTTCTCACCCGGCCTCCTCTACGTTTCACACATCCACTTTCAATATTTACTTCTTAGTTTCTCCTCTTGCCCCCATGGTTGAGGTTTCTACTAGATATTAGGGAGGGGAGGTGTGATGTTTTCCATTCCACAGAAGAGGAAACGGAGGCTGTGAGAGGCTGGTTGGTGTTCTTTTTTCTAGATCCACGGAGCTGTGTGTCTGCAGGCCAGTCACCTACCCTCTCTGAACCTCAGCTTCCTGCAGGACTGTTGGGAAATGGATGGAAAACCCTCATGACCGTACACAGTGGGCACTCTCATATTTATTTATTTTTTTCCTTCCTCACCCAAGGCAGGGAGAGAGCCAGAGAGAGAGAGAGCATCCAGATTGCGGGATTCTTGGAACAGTGCTCTCTCTGTTGTACCCCAAGCCCGTGTTTTCTGTTTCTCTCTGTCCTCACCATCCCCTCCCACTTCCTTGCTACTTCCAGGTTTTGTTCCTGTGCTTTTACCTGTTTCCCTCTCTTAGAGTACCTGGGAGTCCTGGAGCCCCCGGAAATCCTGGGAGGGTTCCTGGCGCTCACATTTAGCCTAGAGCCCTTGGATGGCTCTCAAAGCAGCACTGTCTCTATTCTCAGGTCAAGGACCAGGTCAGGTGACTGCGAGATCTGCTGACAGTCACAGCTGAGCCAGGCAGAAAGGAAAATTTGGAGATTGCTTGGTCCGGACATCGAAGATACTCCCACCCCACCGTCTGTTCCACACAAAATATACTCATCATTCCCCGGTGTCTGCAGCGCTGTGGAAATGCAGTGTCTGTCTGCAGGAGGGAAATGTCTGGCAGGGAGGACAAGATAAATACTGATAAAAATTTTACATGACAAAAGAGAATGTAGCAAATTATGCATGAGTTACAGGCCTCTTTTTATTTTATTTTATTTTATTTTATTTTTTAATCTTCACCTGAGGATATATTTTTCCATTGATTTTTAGAGCAAGTAGAAGGGAGGGAGGGGGGAAGAGAGAGAGGGAGAGAGAGATTGATGTAAGAGAGACATATCCATTGGTTGCCTCCCACACCCACCCGACTGGGGCCAGGGGTCGAACCTGCAACCCAGGTACCTGCCCTTGACTGGGGATGGAACCCGAGATCCTTCGACTTGAGGGCTGACACTCTAACCACAACACCAGCCAAGGCCAGACCTGTATTTTAGACACTCTGATGGTTGGTAGGTTAATTCATTCTTTTTATGAAACGTTTAGTGATTACTCCCAATTATGTGCTAGACACTGTGAAAGGTACTCAGGAGACATGCAAAAACGATATAAAACCTAGGAAGTTCTACGGTGGAGGCTCATAGAAGGAACTGGGTAGAGTTTCAGGAAAAAAATATTCAAGAGAGGCTCTGAAGAATGAACAGGGTTTCCCGATGTGGAGATAGCATGTAAATAGTTCCAGCCAGGAGGAACTACAGTTTGCAAAGGTCAGGATGGTGGAGGGGAGAGAGTAGGTGAGGCGCAGCCTAGGATCGCCTGGCTGGGTGGGGCTGAGCCCGGGGCGGGAGCAGACGCCGAAAGGGAGGCTGGCAAGGTCTCCGGGGCCATGTTGGGAGGGCCTGGAGGGCCCACCCCAAAGGCTTGCATGTTGGATGTAGGGTTGCCAGATGCAGCATATAAATATGCAGGGTGCCCAATTAGATTTAAATTCCAAGACAAAAAGCCTACAGTTTGTTAGGTCTGTCTCATGCAGTGTTTGGGACATCATTGTACTAAAACGTTTTGCCGTTTACCTGAAATTCGGCTGCAGCCTAGGGTTCCCCTGCCGGTTTCAGCAGTGCCGTCCTCTGAAGGGTGCTCCTGGGTCCTCATGACGGGCCCAGGCCTGGGTAGGCCTCCTCTCTCCGCCCAGCCTGTGTTCCCAAGTAGACCCCACTGCTGGGGGCTCCCAAAGGCACAGGAATGGGGCCATCCGGGTGGCCTGTCAGATTGGGCATGGGGCTTTGGCTAGAGGGCTGAGGTCCCTCTGGACTCTGGACTCTGGGTGTCAGTGGTGAAGGACTCCGCTCATGCCCAGCTTCTCTGAGGTGGAGTCAAGATGTTTAGAGAACATCTGTGCAGGAAATGGTGCTGCTGTCCAAGTCTCAGGTGGGGGTGCTACTCCCCGATGAGGAAGCTGAGACTTGGCGGGGGGTGGAGTACAATCTTTTCAAAATTTAAAGCAAAAAAAGCAGACCCCAAGTGTCCCACTACCCAAGAAAACACACCAAGCAGGTGATCAGTTAGTTAGGTCAACCTTGGGGAGAAGAGAAGTCAGAATTGGGACCCCATCTTACCTAGGTTCTTCCTTAGCTGCCCGAACCCAAACACAGTGATGGCTACGACAAGAAGGAGAGTGGGAGAAGGAGTGGCAATTGCTGCGTGCCCGCTGTTCCACAGGTTCTGTGCCAGGCACTTGACACGGATGATCTTATGTCACAGCTCAGTAACCTTGCAAGGTTAGCGCTGTTCTCGTTTTGCAGCTGGGAAACTGAGGCCCAGAGGGGTCGAGCAGGGATTCAAGCCCCCGTCACTGTGCCAAGCCCCATTTTCTTTCCACCACAGCACGATGCCCTGCCGTCCACACCGACACCCACGTGAACTTCCAATCACGTTCTTCCTCACAGTCTAACGCCGCAGGCCCCTTCCCTCCCTTTACCTGCATTTGCTCTCCTTCCTCATGTGTATTTCACTCCCCGATTGCCTGGGTTCGGAGGGTAGAGATTAGCGCGGGTCTCAGGCTTTCCAGGCCCATGCAGGCTAATGTCCACCCGCCTCCTAGGCCCTCAGCGGCGGACCCCTGTGGCATTGGCCAAATCCGGAGCCCAGAGCCCTCCAGGGACTGGAGGGTCAGGGCAGAGAGCTAAGCTTCAGAAAAGGTTTTTATTCTTTGGCCAAAGTACACCCTCCTTAACACAGTCACTATAAACAAAGGCTTCTGCTGGGATCATGAGCAAGCACCACAATTTCCAGTTTCCTTATGAGCCAGAGGCCGAATCTCCCTGCATTACACAGAAAGGGAGGCTTGGAGGTAGGAGGCCCTCTACAACCATCTCATAAAACCCAGGATCCTCACCTGCATCCCTGGCTCCGGCGTCCGGGGCACAACACCAGGCCTGTCCTGCAGTCCAGGGGGCTGGCCCCCTGACTCCCCAGCCTCACAAGGCCCCACCCCCTGCACCGTGTCTGCGCAAAAGCCTCTCATGGCACCAGCCTTGAGCACCCAACAGCTTTAAAGGACCTTTCGGAGGGAGCAAGGAGGGAAGAAGATGACAGCCCCAGGAGATACAGTTTCAGAGAAAAATAAGTCATGAGACTTAGAGAAGGGCCCCGGGGGAGAACCAGAGGGGAGCGTGTGCCCTGAAGACTGCCCCGTAGCTGACTAGCTGTGAAGCCTGAAATAGAACTCAGGATTCCTGACTCCAGGCCGGGTGACTTGAACTCCTGGCACCTCTCCCTTAAAGCAGGTGCCTTGACCTACTTCTCAGAAGCCGCAGGGAAAGAACAGCCTATAAAACAATAACCAAGTATAGGAGCAGCTGGGTAACCAAAGGCTGAAGAATGCATCTCCACAACACAGACAACAGCTCCGAGCCAGGTCAGTGGGACGTGCTCTTGGCACGGTTCCTGGAAGCTGCCTTGGGTGCAGGAGGGACGCGGTGGGGACAGAGCCACCGTGAGATCAGGGCAGGAGTACCTGGAGTGGAGAAGGCACTGCAGACAGATTTTACCTCCGCTAAACCAGTTGTTACCAGAGAGGGAGTGAAGTTTGAGATAGTGATTAATAACGCGTTGAGTTTTAGAAGCACGAAGCAAATTCCCCTAGTCACCATCCTCTTCTGCCCGTGGTTTATCCTGTGTTCACCTCCCAAAGCAGGGTCAGACTCCCTCCACTGTCTATGGCTCCCTATGGTCCCTGGAGAAGAGGCTCCTTTCCCTCAGGAAGCTCAAGTCCACGGTAAAAGCTCCGGCATTACTATGCCTTCAGCCCCCACCATTCCATCCCCTCACTCTCCTGGCTCCTTGCTTGCTGCCGGGAGGCACCTATTCTCCACCCTTTACCTCCCACCTTCAGCCTGTGTGACACCTGCCCCACTGAGAGACCCAAGCCCGTCCTCACGCTGAAGGACCTGAAGGCCCACGGCAGCCATTGTGCATCTATTGATAGGCACGACTTGAAAGAGAAGAGAGGACATGGGCAGTGAATAGCTGGTCAGAGAGATGAGCTCAGGAGGTCAGATCTGGCTTTCCAGGCCGTGGCTAAGGAGACCTGCATTCCACCACAGCCAG